TCTCTCTCTATATATATATATATATATATATATATTATATATAATAATATTGTAATACACAAAGAAATAACTCTATTAAAATAAATGAAATTATATATATATATATATATATATATATAATTTCATTTATTTTAATAGAGTTATTTCTTTGTGTATTACAATATTATGTTTCGACCAGGCCACCCTCTTTAGAAGCAACAATATTGCTTCAACAGATTGAAATTTAGAGTGATTCGTCTTGCGATCCTTGCATGGTTTGTACAGAACGTCATCGCACCGCACTGGGAGGCTGTGCTATGTGTTCTTGCCGAGAAAAACAACTTAAGTGGTGTGAAAGAAACCTCCATCGGAAAAACGTGCTCAGCAGCAAGCCCATCACACTTGCAGCTGCCATGAGGTCAGTCCAGGCATGAAAACGCACCAAATGTGACGGTGATTTGTCACAATCACGTTAGATAAAAAAGTATGGCAAAAGTAGCGGTCATTTCTTGTACCGATTTCTCACACACCCTGATTTCTACCGCTCAAGCAGTCTGATAAAATGTTTTCGCGTAACGAATACGGGACGCAAGGCATTGGGTTACTAATAGTCTATAGATTAAAATGTCGATTCATTCTATCACCGGGTACCCCATTAGTACGTATCCAATAGATATTGGAATGGTGTTCCATGCGTCGCTCGTGCTGGCGCCAGCAGTAGTAAATTGTTTAAAGTAAATGCCTACAACAAATGGCAACTTGCTTGCGCATTTGTCAAAGCTTTATTTTGGTAATTACTTCGAATCTTTTAAACGGGGAACGCGTGCGCGTGTGGCGCGTGCAACACCATTCCCTGCATTCTCCTTGATGCTTGGGTAAATTAGGAATAGGCATATTTCTATAACCGATTTCTTTACATGATGAATGCAGAGACTTCATAGCAAAAAAAAAGGCACTTCCGATTGGCCAGGTGTGTTCGCTCTGCGCATGGCGCCAGAACAGCGACCAATGCACCGCGCTGTATGTTAACTTGTAGTCAAGCAAATGTTTTCGGTGGTTGACCCAACAGCCACTTCAAAGACTCATCGCCCACATTTCATTATCGGGATATATTGAATGACTTTTGTTGCGTCACGTGATGTATGAAGTTAGAGTGATGGCCGAGTTTCACCAGGGTTGTTTTAGTCGCCACTTCTTTTTTTTATCTTTATTTAAACTTCTTGTTTGCAAGTGTTTACTCTCAAACAATTGTTTTTAGCTACTCTGCAAGTATTGAGCTACGGGTGTTTGCGTATGCTAATAATGTTACCCTATTTTGTGCCGACAAGAATAGCATAACTTAAGCAGTGCGCATTGTCAACAAGTTTTGGAAATATAGTGGAAGTGCTGTAAATTGGCAGAAATGTATAGGTTTCTGGATTAGCGAGTGCGATCATGAGCCTAGTTTGTCTGAAATCGTTAGTTGGGCAACCACGTCACTTCACCACATAAAAGTCCTATAAATACGCTATTTCTACAGTGGCCCGTATAGGCGGAATTTGCTGTTTAACTGCGCATAAAGCCAGATAAGCGTACAGGGAGGCATCTGTTGATTGTTACACATTCCACAGTGTGCAATTTAGTCGTTCTTATCGAGCTTGGAGCACGTATTGCAGGTATTCTACTGCTCGCGTGTAAATGTATAAAAACTGCATCGTATTTTTTTCGATATTCTCTGGGAACTAACGAGTCGAACAAGCATTTTTAGCGCGTTATGTGGGAAGTTTTATTATAGGCACATTAAATTTATCTTTGCGGCAAACTGTAATATTTCTTTTCTATGTGACAATTTTTTTTTACGCGCGACGGGCAAAGTGCGTTATTTCAAAGCCTTGTCTGAAGTTGTACTTTTTTGTGTATGTGGAAATGAGATTCAAGGCTACCTACAAGAAGTTGTTTCTGGCGGCTCGTCTTTTGTGCACATGATTGTTTTTTCTCAAGTATTCAAACAGCGTTTTTCCAAAGCAACTCTACAGGCACGTTGTGGTTCTTGTGCTCTTTCTCTCTTTCTCCCTCCCTCCCTCTCGATCTTTCTATCTAGAAGCCCGCGGCAGAATGCTCTCAGACGAATTTGAATGGCGAAAACTCTACTCTGTGTTCAGAAATGTTTTAAAAGCTACATCCCGGAATTTTATTGGCTACGATGTTGATGGCAGAGAAGGGTTTGTTTGTACCATGGTGTTTCAACACTAGTGAAAGAGATCGTTGACAGTAGAACACGTCTTCCTGGATTGATCGGAGGTACTTTTTTGGGATGTGCTTCAGTGTGCGTTGCGGAGGCTGAAAAAATAGCTAAGGCCGATTCACACAGTAGCCATTTCTTACGCTACTTATAGGTCACCGAAATATGCCCGTACAGAATGTTGCGTTCCAGGCTATCCCCTTTGAACAGTGGTAGCCACGTTGAATATGAAGCAAATATGTCTCGAGGAGTTGTCCGTAAGCGTTCGCAACATAATATAATGTTAGAATATGAGGCTGCGTTAATTAAGGCATACCCTTCTTTCTGTACCTCTCTCCAGTAAGCTTCAGGGCATGGGTACACCACATCTTTTGGCCTTGCTTCCCGTTGTCGCCATTTTCGCAGGACAATGTGCTTTTCTAACAACCTTTTAAGCACGTATCTTAACATGCACTTGTTCTTTTTTGGTAATCCTTGTTTAAATATACGCTAGTTCGGGGCATAAAAGCAACAAAGGCTAATACAACGGTTCCATTCCGATGTATTCTGACGGGCAAAGGCGAGTTGGGCTGCCCTTGACTTGTCGTTTCAAAACACCTCCGCGAATGGCGCTCGTTACTGTAAAAGGTAAAATATTTGGGTTGTATGTATGTTTATGAAGTCTAGAACTTGGTCTGCCTCAACGGTGACGAGTCTACCAGTTCTGGATAAGAAATTTAGCCAGTCCAGTACAACCGCTAGCCTGGGGACTTTGACGTGCATCACGCAGTAGAGGTAGGCGACCGCACGCCAGTACGATGCTCATCCAGATCGAAGCGGGCAGGGGAGGAGATTGAACCCATAATCCTGGGCTATACAGCGCAAGCTTTCGCTGCAAGTGCTCCGAGATGGTTTGCTAGCCCACTCGGCCACTCGGCCACCGATCCCTCTTATACTTATCCAATTAAAAAAGGGAAAGTGTGGGCATTGAACACGCTTCACATGCTCTGAGTCGCGGTGAGCTAGCACGTGGACTGTGGGAGAGTAGCGCAATGCTTCCCATGCCTTTCTCCATGATGTCTCCATTCTTGGTGACCCGATCTAAATGCGCGGTGACGGATAACTTTATAAAGCTTCTTCTTGTATTCCCAGATTTTCCTATCCACACACCACCAAAACAAGCGTCCATCTTCGTACCATCACCACATGCGATGACCGGAGCCTCGAAGCATTTAAAATAATTTTCCTGTTTTAAAATACGCAGGAACAATAAAATAAACACATCTAACTAAGCGTTCCGCGTTTGCGTGACGCCGCCATAACATTTGTTAACAGGAGACAGACGGCCGTCTATGCGAGATATTGTGCCGTCTTGTGTTGTGCATGCGCAGAGCTCCAGCGAGGTTGTCGCGCCTGCAGAAAGACTAAAATTCTCTTAATGCATTGCGACAACGGTGACGTAGTCAAACTGGTTTGTGAGATCGGTCAATTGTAAGATATCGGTGGAGGTGGCCATGATTAAGATTTTGCAGGCATACAATGCCGAATTTGCGTATATTGGCGAGGAAAGCCTTCATTACAATGATGCTCTATAGTGATCATGGTGCGACTGTAATAGATTGACTCACTCGAAGCTTCGAAAATTTCAAAGGGCAAAAATGGCGATTGCATGGCAACAGAGACCGATTAGCCAATCGCCTATTGAGGTTTTGGCTGTCTGTATGTGAATATTTTGTTGTGTTTGGCTAGCAGGCAGGGAAACGCAATGTCGCTACTTTTCCAGGGTTCAATGGATTTAGCGCACATAAACTCGAAGAACGTGGAGGGAAAGCTCGCGCTGCAGAACCCAGAGATCCTGGGTTCAATCCCCACTCCTGCCCATTTCGATCTGGATGAGTATCGTACCGGCGTTCGGTCGTGTGTCATTACAGTGTGGTGCACGTTAAAGACCCCCGGCTAGCGGTCGTAACGCATGTGCTAAATAGCTCATATACAGCTGAAACACCAGACGCCCCCTGATGCAGATCAACTTGTGGTTGTATAAGCATGCACCCACCATGTTTTAATCAGCATTCGTGTATCTCTAAACTGTGTGATCAAACAGCCCATGCTATCAGTAGTACTGCACTGTCTAAATTTATCACCAATAGAGGAGACACAAGACGCACATTGTAGTGTACCAACGTTTTGCTGTCCGACGTAACAAAAAGCACAATTAGTTACGATATGTTTGTTATCCCACTTTTAATACGGCAGTGTGTTTTTTAGGGGCGAAGCTCCTTAGGGCCTAGCCTTGTTCATCCGTTCGGCGTCCATGCTCACACCGATTGCCATCCCATCTGTCTGTCATAGATGAAACGTTGCATGTAGCCGCTCAACGTCTATTGAGGAGAGGGCCCTGCGGTCAAGTGCGTATATAATCGCGTTAAACTTTGCATGCATTTTCTCAACGCTTATAGACGAGAGGGCGCTGCGGTCAAATGCTCAAATGCGTATATAACCACGTTCCCATACCACACATTCTCTTTCCGACATGAACCGTTGACTTAAGCGGTGGAGATGCGTTCCCACGGCTTCTAGCGGATCCAACCTGATCCGCTAAAAGAACCACTGGCTTTGCATTTCACCGACCATGAAGCAGTAATAATCAAAACGCAACCCGGAACTCAGCACTACCTATGAGCAATAAAAAAATGTCAGCACCATCAGCCCTACCTATAAACAATAAAATCAGTATCATCAGCACGACTAGAGCTTCACCCCAATCAACATCATTCACCACGTGGAGATGTTGTGATTTTTTTTTTTCTTTTTGTTTCAGTACCCACCAAAGTTACCAACCTCCGTGTCCTGTTCCGAACTCCAAGCTCGGTGTCTTTGGCCTGGAACAGACCTCCTGCGGTGTTCGAAGGTTACAAGGTGATCTTCCGCACGAGCGGCACCAGAATAGGCACATGCCTCAACGGAACCACACTGGACCCAACACAGACGCAGATAACCTGCGAGGACCTCGAATCGTGTACCACCTTAGACGTGACAGTTTTCACGCAGAAGTCGTCCTCGTCATCTGAAATCTCAGCCGGAGTTACACTGAGCGACATCCAAGTGCCAGGGAAAGGTAGGGCTCCTTCAAATGCTTCGTAAGGGGTGTAAAGAAAATGGGAGGGAGATGGAAGGGCAGAGGGAAATTGGCACAGTCGCAATTGAACTAACAAACGAAAACCACTATTGGGCAAGATTTTTAGCTTGTCTCTTTTCAATAAATGCTCGCTTGGACACAAGGTTCCAGGAATGATATCAGCAAACTTTTCACGCAGCAGGTTGTATGCTCACTAGTATTTTTTCATGCACCCGGAGAAAAATATGCGCGCGACTTTTCCCTTATTAAACCTGAAAATTTGCTGGGATATAATGTGTCTCCAAAGACTGCCTAAAAAAAAAAAAAAAGACCTACGCTCAAGCGGGCTCGGACACCGCAGTTAGGAAAATGTAAAACGGGAGCGTTTTGCAGAATCCAGTGTTTTTGGGTTTGACCAACTATTTTGCAAAAATCTCCAAGTAGAACGCAGAAAGGACGCAACAAATGAAGACAACGGCCTTTGTGCTTCTCCTTGCCCCCGCAGCATCCCCCGACACCTCAAATTGTGACTGACAGCTGCGCAGGGTGTGGCGAGGTCTGCGCATCTTATTATCAATCCTCAGCCAGTCGAGCTTGTTGTGTTAACTGACAAGGACGCCGAAGAACAAATCAGAAAGCAAGACGCGAATAACTAATAAGACATACATGCTCTTCTTGAGCTGTCGCTGACTATAAATTACAAGTCTGTACGCTGGATTTCTTTATGTCTGCTGCGACGAGCGACACGCATTGACGAGCACTGACGGGTGACCACTCCTAGTCTAGATCAAAATTGTCATCACGGGGGGCGCTCTCGGTGGCATCTTGCCTGTGCGCTCTTTGAAACCCATTCGTGCACCAGCGTTCGACTATGTTCTGTCAGGCTACGCTCTCTAGAGGCCAAATTAAATTCACCTGCTCACCCTTGGTTATTATGTCACATACAAGTATACTCAAATGTCTCGCCACGCTTCATGCCAGGCACGAGTGCCCAAGTGACTCGCAGTTGCCACTCGACGTAAGCCCTCACACGTATTAACTAGTGTTCTATGTTTTGGAGGTTCATTTTTCTTCCGTTTGGGAGTGCTGTTTATTCTCGATTTTTGCTGTCGGACAAAGAAAAATTAAAAACGTGTAATGCGGAATTGGAGCGCAGCTCTTGAGGAGGAGGAAGGGAGTGTACGGACGGGAGGGTACGCACCTTCTTTTTCTCTGTACCCTCCTCTCCTCATCCCCTCCCATTTAACGGAAAATGTTCGCTATATCTGCGCTCTACATGTAGCGAAACTTTCCCCGCTAAACTTAGCGGGAAAATTTTCACGCTAAATGTAGCAGGAGATATAGCGAAAATTTTCCCGCCAAGGTTAGTGGGTTAAGTTTCCCCACTAAATTTAGAGGAGGAATTGACGCCACATGACATCAGCACGAATTCAGTTTCCCCGCTAAATTTAGCGGGAAAAACTGCGACGTCTCACTGTGCAACGCGCGCGGTTACGCCGACGCCGACGCCACTCAACCCGGAACTGGGCTCCTAAAAGCTGCGCTCTAAAAACCCAGGAATATTTTGGTTTACCGGGGCTTAATTGGGGCTTATACTAAAGTCACTCAACCCTCAGAATGTAGCACCATCGCCTTGCCTACCTCCTATGCGGCCACAAACAGCAACTAAAATATCGATGACAAAACCTCGTAAGCTGATTGGCTGCTCTGCCTAGGTTGCCATGACAATTGCCATTTCTGTCCATTCATATCGTTGAAACTTCGGAAGGGTCGTTCGGAACCAGTCGCACCAAGATCGCAGTGGAACATTATCGCACTGAAAGCGTTCCTCCTCAGTATAAGAGTTTTGGCACTGTACATTCAATCAACTTACCAATCATGTTTGCCTCCACAGATCTCTTACAAGGGCATTGTTGCTCTCGCGTATTTCAAGACGTGGGCGCTTTCGTGTTGACGCCGCCAATCACAAATGCCGCATGTGGTGGTGGTGAGAAAAGAATCCCTTGTTTCGCCCGTGTGTGGATAGCAAAGTATTCGTATTCAAGAAATTACTTTATAACACGACCTGTCAAAGGAAATTATTATTGGCTCGCCACGAATAGAGGGGGCAAGGAGAAACTGCTAGTAACTCCATGAACCGAAATGGCGACCAAGAGAGAGTTTGGCGCTACTTTTCCAGAAAGTAATGACTTTAATTCAGCCATTGGCGAAAGTTTCGTTCGCAACAACCAAAGCAACAGAAGCGAGTTGAACTCCGGATCAGCCATGACTCATAATGGCTTCGCGAAGCTACCTCTCGCATCGCTTCCCACGCCGCAAGCGCCAAACACTTGGCCATGTACTTCGTCGTTGCTGTCGTCTAGTTTGCTTCGAGCGACACCGGCACAAGTTTGCGAACTAGCTTTTATGTACATCCTCCCGGGAAGATGCGAATGTACAAAACAAGGTCAGGTGTGTGGTTCGCGACAAAATATGCATTATTGCGGACACTTGATTGGGAGTAGTGTTTTGAGTTGGTGCCTAAAACTTTCCGTCAAGCTTCAGTTTGTTTCATTCAAGTACAACCCGAATCCGGTCTTTTTTAAATCTTAAACTCCTTTCAACAACCCCCCCCCCTCAAAAAAAAAAAAAAAGAAATGTTCGGGAGTTAATTTTTGGAGCTTATCGGTACTTACCGGAACAAAAACCGAAGCCTTGTCTTTATTTTACAACATATTGAAACGTAGTCTTATGCCACTCTAAGGCGCATCCACACAGTCTTGTTTAATTACGTTCGCAGAGGTTGTGAGGTTTTAGCCAAGTTATGACAGTGAATGACCGAGGCATTCGAGCTACGCTTGACACAAGGCAGTATATCAAAGAACAGCCAATGTGTACCTGACCTACCGATTACTGGTGGCAAGTGAATTGAGGTCTTGTAATGTCAAACGTAATTAATGCCTAATAAGTGAATGACGCTTAGTAATAACTATTCATTGTTTGATACTCAGTACTATTAGTTTTGAAATTTCAACAAATGGTTTTGTAACTTTATTTCGTCTGAGATTCGTCCCTTCTATTTACAGGGGACCACGTTAAATGCTATTTTTAATATACCCGGCTATTGCCCACTAGTGCAAATAAAAATATATCTCAAACTAAAAGTTACCTTCCTGGCGCATTTTGCTTGACTGGTTTATGATACACCTGGTTCAACCGAGAAAATTAATGTCGTTTTCTTTTTTTGGTTTGCATAAATAAACTCTGCTTTTCAGAAGGCTTAATCTTAGTCAGAATATGACGTCAGCGGTGGGATTACGATATGAAAGTTTGAGAATATGACGTTACCTGATCAAGAAAAAAAAATAAAAGAGAAGGACGAAGACAAATATAAAGGTAAAAGGCGAACACATAAATTTAATTTGGTCAAACAAGGGAGTAGTATTGTGGGAGCCTGTGGCCTTTCTAATCAGTAAAAAATTACCCCAAAAATATTTTTTGCTGGCAAAACATTTTTACTGTAATAAATGGCACAGGTGCCAACAATAATATTCGTTGTTCTTGACGAAACAAGGATGAGAAATTTTGTCTTTCCCTTTTATCGTTTGATCCAGGTAACGTCATATTCTCAACCTTGCGCATCTCATCCAACTGGTATCTTAATAGGGCGGAGTGCCAGCTTTCTGCAATGCGTACATTATTTATGCAAACCGAAAATTCGTGTTTGATTATATCTAACGAACCCGGTATACAACCGCATACAACATGAACAAAAGAGCATAAGCAGACTCATCAGAAATGATATATATTACTCTAAATGCCAATAGGCATTCTAAAAGCAAATAACAATAATATTCATTGAGGGCAAGATGAACGACATTTGCATATTAGTATAGGTATTTGTAAGTCTGTAGTCTATGCGTAAAACAATTTTATAAAGCAACATTCGCTTGGAAGTGTACTTTTTCTGATCTACAGATCCAGGACCTCCAATGTACATAAAACATGACCCTTTTGACCCAAGAAAAACGAAGTTACACTGGACTCCTCCTCAACTCGTGTGGGAACCCCTGGGTCCGTACAAGGTCACGGTGTGTGCGAACCCGGACTTGTGTCCGAGCTCGCGGCAAGTCGACTGCTACGAAGAGGAGACTCGTGCCATGAGCCTGGTCATCAACACAACGCCGGTCACTGACTACTGCGCCGTCATTCATTCGACCGCTTCGTGCTTCGGACAAGTCCACAAGAGTCAAGCCGCAGCTAAGGCATTCAAGACACCCGCCTTTGGTAAGTGTCTTTAGGGGTCGGAGGTCGAATCTGTTAGCACAACGCAGCTGGGAGCACATAGCAATACGCTCGAGCTCCAGAGTCGCTGCAGAGTCCGGGAATTACAGTTTCATAACCACGATGATTAAAACTTAGAGCACATAAAGACAGGACAGAATTAACAGGACACACAATCGCTGAGTCACAATGTTTTGCACGACAACCGCGACCGTGATAAGGGTGCTGCAACCTCCTGGTGTATCGGAGGGTGTGTGTGTGTGTGGGTTTAATTGGTCGTTTAATATATGTTTGCGTCTTCACGATAAAACTTCAGTTGTAACTTCAGTGATTGCGTGTTCTCTTCGTTTTGTCCTGTCTTTTTGCGCTGTACGTTTTAATCGTTATGTCTTAATAACACGCACAAGCTTCCCTTTTGAATATTAATCAACATCCCTGCCCGTTTCGATGTAGATAAATATTGTACCTGTGTGCTGTTGTCTGTCACTGCTATGTGGTGCACGCTAAAGGCGCCCCGCTCGCAGTGGTAATGAAATGGCTTAACATCTCATCAAGAGTAGAGACACCAGACGACCTTTTGCGGATAACTAACCTTTGTTATAATAAACACGCAGAATAATTAATTACGAGGTGACTTTAAATATTGCATTCATTGAGCATAAAAGGCTTTCACTATAAGGTTCCAAACCATGAACTGTCATCATAAAAAGGGGCCTCTACGCCGTGTTTAATATTATTAGATCTATTCATAACGGGTGTTCTTGGTGGGTGAGCAAGGTATGCGCGTTTTGTACTTAGCCAACTTTTGCGGTTAGGAAAAATAACTCTCCTTAAGTGAACTCTATAATCATAATTTGATAAATACTTCACCAAGCGTATAAACGAAAAAGCCTCTAAAAAAAGAAAAACTTACCGAAAAGCAAAAGAAATTTAGAGTAAACTATTTGATCCCCACCATCGTTTTTTAAAGAAACATTGCATTTGTATTTGTAGCAGAGCAATGACTGAAGTACTTTTAGCAACGCAATATCATACTTATGACCGGTAAGTACCCCCGATTTTTTAATATAGCCTGAAGACATCCTGGCATATTTCTAATATTGTGCGATTTTCGCTTGATTCATTGCGTGCGGGTTTCAATCCTCCCTCTGTGTGATGGGTGGATCCTTTAATCATGAAATTGCTAGAACGTTCTGCCATGCCTCTAATATTGTTGGCAGCTGCAAACGGCTTTTGCAGTCCTCAAGAATATTCACTTTCCATCAACTTACAAGTAACTCGTTGTTGTTATTTTAAGATGAAAAAGAAAAAAAAATGGGAACCTATGCAGCATGACCGCTCCTTTCTATGGGGCACAGCCAGCTCCGACTAAGGAAGAAAGGGGACACAGATAGAGAGTACAATACAATACACTTTATTTTTCCAGAAGTACTGGAGGGGTCCCCAGACAAAAAGCTGCTAACAGCAGCTTGACTGGGTCTGGGTCCCCCTTATACATGGCAGCAGCTCGGACGGCAAACATATAAAACACTTTACCATGGTGATAAGAAAAATAAAACAAGGTCACATAACATTGGAGTAGCAGAAGAACAAAATTAGCTATGAATAGTTGAAACAGTAGGTACGTAAGTCTTTTTTGCCGATTGTGTAGATGTTTATGTTGTTCGTGGAACATTTATTTAACACGTATGGTACTTTGTAATGCAATGATTGGAGGTTGTAATTTATGCGGCACCGAGGAAGGAGCCAAGTGTCGACACGGCGCGTGTTTAGATTACTTTCACGTTTCTGAAGTTCAGAAATAAAATACAAAAAATCTATGAGTGTTGGCGATGAGAAACGAAGGGTACAGAGTAAACGATAATTAAACACGCGTTCTACGGGAAGTATCTTATATCTAGAAAATAATGGTTCTGTATAGTCTGTATGAGACACCCGCGATAAAACGTAAAACTTTTTTTTGCAATAATAGTATATTTTGAAGGTTTGTCTTAGTTGTCGTAGCCCATACAAGATTACAGTAATTTAAATTGGACTCAAATAGTGCGTAGTAAAGTTTTAACTTAATACTGATTGGTAGAACATGACGACAGCGGGCAATAATGCCGACAACTCTGGAAAGTTTAGCAATTAGATAGCTAACATGGCTGTCCCACATCATATACTCGGAAAAAAGTACTCCTAAAATTTTATGTTGGCTAACGAATTCAATTTGTGAATCACCAAGTTTGATTTCATTTTTAACCAGAACTGGTTTATTAAGAGATCTAAATAAAATGGCTTTAGATTTTTGGGTGTTTACTTTAAGGCCATTAACATTGGACCACATGTCAAATTTACTTAAGATATTATTCGCTTTACATATCAGAACATCAGCATCAGTAGCAGAAACAAAGAGGCTCGTATCATCAGCATAAATGACAAACTGAACTTGGTGATCGATGTTAACAATATCATTTATGTATACATTAAATAGAAAAGGCCCAAGTATGCTTCCTTGCGGCACACCTGCAATAACATTATGAAAGGAAGAGTAATGACCGTCAATTACTACGCACTGTTTCCTATATTGTAGATATGATGTAAGTAAAGCAAGGGGTACTCCGCGGACACCATAGTTGCCAAGTTTAGCAAGAGGAATGTGGTGATTGAGAACATCGAACGCTTTACTGAAGTCTATAAATACACCTAACGTAAGAAGCCTTTTTTCAATATTTTGCAATATAATTTCTTTTTGAAGTAATAAAGCGGCTTCAGTGGATTTACCTTGTCGAAAACCAAATTGACAGTCCGATAGTATAGATTGTTTTGTAAAAAACGAATTTAGACGTGCGAGTATAATTTTTTCAAGTGCCTTAGAGAAGATAGGTAATACTGATATAGGCCTGTAATTATTCGGGACGTTCTTATCGCCTCCTTTATATATAGCAGAAACTTTTGCCAACTTCATGTTTGCTGGAAATTGTCGAGATGATAATGCCAAATTATATATGTGTGCTAAGCATGGGGCGATTATATCTATTACATATTTAGCCGGCTTTATTTGTAATTGATCAACGTCACTACTTTTGCTGTTTTTTAGTCCTAAGAATATATTACATATCTCAATTTCGTCAGTTGGATTTAGAAAAAAAGTATCGTTATTATGCCTCACAAATGAAAGGGCACTAGGATTAAAAGCAGTGGGTTGTTCAACCGAAAAGTGAGTGTTAAAGCATTCCGCCAGACTTTCATCGGACATAACTTGACCGTCTATTTTTAATTCACCGATAGAGGGGGACACCTTTGTACGATTTATGACTTCATTTATTATTTTCCAAACCACATCAGGGCGCTCTCTAGTGACATTATGGAACATATGCTTATAGTATGAAGATTTTGCTTTTCTAAGTTCAGAAGTTAGATTATTCCTAAATTTCTTAAAAGATGAGAGCCTGTTTGGGTCCCTCGTTTTTAGGAAAGCCGTGTATGGGCGGTCTTTTTTATGCATCATTTTAATGTGTACGGCGGTCACCCAGGGTTTCCTTATCTTTTTGTTTACGGTTACGGTTTTTAACGGAAAATGCAAATGGTAAAGTTCTTTAAAAACGTCCAGGAAAGTATTATAAGAGACATCGACGTTTAAGCTAGAATAAACAAAGCTCCAGTCACAGTTAAGAACTGCATCCCTAAATGCCAGGAGGCAGTCATCGGACATTTTACGGAAGGTGGTGGTGCTTTTCACTTTTTTCGGTGTTTTATAATTTTGTATCGACAAGAAAATGGGAATGTGGTCACTGATACTGCAGCTTATAGTGCCAGATACCTTAACTTTGGTTGTAACGTTCGTAATAAAAAGATCAATTGCGTTTGACGTGGTTTGGGTGATTCTAGTAGCAGACGTAATTACATTTACAAAGCCGTTGGAGTTGAGTGTACTACTGAGAGAATTTGAATAGAAGGAGGCATCTAATATGTTAACATTGAAATCGCCGCCAAGAACAAGGCGATAGTTATTTACCGAGACATGGTCAAAGAAGCGCTCAAGAAAAGAAATGAAGTTTCCAAAATCTGCCGAAGGGGGGCGGTATATAACAGTAAAAATAGTGTTACCACATTTTAGAGTTAGTATCTCATAATCGCTTGATATTTGAGAAAACGCATGTAGCAACTCACATTTAATAGAACATTTTACGTGAATAGAAACACCACCACCACATTTATCTGTTCGGTTCAAATAGAAATGATTATAACCTGGTACAATGAGCATGTCAGCTTCATGCTGATACCAGGTTTCCGTAAACATTATTATGTCAAAAGAAACACCGCACTGATTTAAATGTAATATGAGACTGTCATGTTTTTTTGTTACGGAACGGGCATTTAGGTGATAGATTAGAGTGTTATCTTTCGATGACAAGCAATGACCAAGGTCTACAGGCAAAACTAACTCCCTGTATTCCATTGCAAAAAAAAAAAAAAAAAGAAACACAAAGAGACCGAGTAGATAAGCTAACTAATCTTCTCGATGTCAGCTTCATTTTTGATTGGAACGAGTGGGGAACCATCGGCTTGACGAGCAAATATTTTTCCATTGCTCACCCAGACATGTTTCCAGTTCGACTGCCGCTTCTTAGCAATCGCTTTGCCAAGAATACGTTTTAATGACGGGCAAAGCTGCTCGTTCACAAATATCGGCGTATTTGTGTCGAGGCCTACATCCGAGTTTGTAAGGCGCTTCTTTTTTGCCTTTTGAAGTATTGCGTCGCGCTTGCTGCGGTTTACAAGCTGTAGGATTATGTTTGTAGTCTCAGTGTCCCGCGTCGGTACACGATGACAGATGGCGATATCCGCTCGAGTAATTTGTTCCCCAATTGATTCTCCCAGTTTACGAATCACATCTGGAAGTACTTCGGCATCACGCTTGAGGACTCCTTTAATTTCCAGGGTGGTGTTCTTCGAGTACTGCTCAGCGTCCGTAAGCCGATCCTGGCAGTTCCTCAAGCATGTTTCCAGTTCATCGC